TGAATTCAAAACTAAACACAGTCCATGTTGGTAAAAATGCTATAATAAGTAACAAGTGCGTGAAGGATAAGGTTATTTAAGTAAGTGCTGGTATTGTATATTTCAAAAGAGACTAAATCCCTAGTTCTTGCTTCCAACAAGTGTTATGGTGTTATAAAATTACTATTAATACAAACATGTCTTCAATTTGTTTCCATAATCATTAAGTTACATGAAAGATCATCTGAGAACAACTGGGACTTTGATGTTCAATATTATCATAATAAAGATTAAACACAATTAAGGATCAAATCTAATTTATGGGTATACATTAGTGCATGAATATTATTTTGAAAGATCAAAAAGATTAAATCTATACCACAGTGCTCCACATATCTGAGTCAGAAGAGTAAATTATTTTTTACTTGCTGTAACTTGCCAAGTCAAAAGTTGCTTCATTTCACATTATGTGTAATATAAAGTGTGATCTTCCTAACCAGGAAAATAAAATCGATTTATATATATAATTGGTCAAGTTTTTAAAAAGACTTTTCTAAAAATCTGTAGTAATAACTACATCACTGACCTTTAAAAATTTTCTTAAAATTTGAGCACTCAAATTAACTCGACGCCAAGAATGTACATGAAAGAAGAAACCAATACGAACGTATTTTAATGTTTGCTGCTATATGCTAAGAATACATAAGGTTTTATATTGACAAAATATGTTAACATTTTAAAATTCTTCTTAATAGTGAGCACTGCAGTGGTTTTCACAGTGGTTAACTCTTATTCTTTGGCATGAAGGAAGTACTATATGTCTCCTTTGGCATTTGCTTGAACTTTTCTATGAATTCTAAAGGGGTGTTCTGTAGATAGCAAATGTTATACATACCACTAATGTAAATTTTCTCTATTTTTTCTGCTTTTAGTAACATAGAAACAGAAATTTTAACACAGAAAATTACTTCCTTCTATATGATCAGTTAAGCACTCCAAAACACCATGTGAGATTTTCCACTAAAGAAGTGCTTCATCTTAAACTGAGAAAATAAACAAGCAGATAAGCCTTCTTTGCCAACAAAAAGGGGTTGGCATATTAAATCTCAAAAATGTCCAAAATAATTAACTCAATCTAATCTCCTTTACCTTCCAGACACAATATCAAAATTGTATTAGCTTACAATTATCATTAGTCATCTAGTTTAGATGAGTAACATTCGGATCTATATCCTACAGAAGTCCTCTCACAAAATATTGTCCACCAATCAGCCTAACTGAGGTCATTCACCAAGGAGTACTTGATAAGTATTAGTGTCAGATTGCTTGTAATGGCATCATTAACTCTCATCTATATTCTTGTAAGCTTCTATACACAATAATTCTGAACACTTTAAATGTGCCACCATAAATGCTACAGTGGTTATGTAGGAAAAATATGCTATTCAAGGATGAAGTATCATGATATGTAGCTTACTTGGAAATGATGTAGCAGGGAAAAATATATACACAAAAATAGACACATATAGGCAGAAAGACACAAATATGGCAAAATGTTAGCAGTTATTGGATCTAGATGATATGAGTATGGATAGCTATTGCACCATTCTTTCAACTACTGTATTTGAAAAGTTTGTATGTTTTAAAGTATTTTGAAATAGAAGTTTTACATTTCATTAGCACATACTTAAAAGGGGCAGAATATTTCTCATTTTAAAAATACAGGTAGTCTAACAGCATAAATAGAATCAAGACTCTTCATTTTCCTAGAAATTGCTTTTCATAGTTTATTAGTTGTTCCACATTTTCAATTTTCTCCACATTAAATACTAAGGTTTTCCATCTGAGCTGGTTATAAATATTTGACGCTACCAATTAAACAAGGAAATATGAATTCAAGAAAATAATATAGGTCTTGACACAGTATACTTTCCCTTGCCCCAATATTTTCTGAACTTTCCCCAGCATCCTTTGGAACTAAACACTATCTCCATTGTCCTATCCTCTTGAAAATAATCACAGAACATGCCTGTCTTTCTTAATTCTTATTTCAAAGCCTGAGGGTACTCATAATGTATAAGAAGATATTTTTAAATATGAAAAGTAAAACTGACAGGGTATATGTATCTTATAGAAAATTAGTTTTTGTTTTGTTTTGGAGGGAAGGTTTAATGAAGGGTTATGGAAGCTCCATTGAACCTCAGAGACCCAGAGAAACTAAGAGAATGTTTAAAATTTAATCATAGTGTTGTCTCATTCTTCTCTCCAAATTTTTAGAACACATGGTGGGCATACAAAAAGCCAGTAAAAGGTACTAGGGCATACAACACTTGCCTCTAAAATCATCGTTTTCCTATATGCACAGTTACAACTGCTTATTAAAACAAGGTTACTAGATATGTCTATTATTGCCTTTGTTTTGTAAAACAATGACTGATTTCTTTTAGGCATATTTTAACTTCAGCAATAAATCAGGAAGTTCGGGGGGGGGGATGAGCTTATAAATGTAGCTTCCACCAAAACATCACACCCTCATTTGACTGATGCTTATTTAAAATCTCTTTTACCTTCATGACATGAAAATCCCTTTAAATGTATTTATTAAAATGTTTAAAATTTGGAAAACATCTGGCATGTCAAATTATTTGGGAGCTTGTGGTTTTCAGTACACTGTTTGAGGTGGTGTATTTGGAAAGAATTCACTTATCATTCTCAGGCTTCACAGGGAAGTAGCCCTAAAAACAAATGCATGTGGTAGTCCCCTACTACCATAGAGAATCAATAGCCATCTATTTAATTTGCTAAGACAATGTAAATTAGTGACTTCCAGCCAGATGTATGATATACACATCAAACAAACTGCAACCTGTTCATTATGAAAATCCTGTCAACACACACAGAGCCACTTGATAACATTTCATCTAAAGCAGTTTCCACATTTGCAGCTATAAAAATTGTTCTAAGAATTTTTATACAAGGAATTGAAGCTGAGACTCATAAAAGGGTAATCAATTTCAGCTTTTCATCTTGTGTGCTTGTGTATACACGCTTCTGTGTGTTTATTTCTATTTTCATCCAGAGGTATAAAATGTTTAGAAAAAAATGTGTGCCATGAAATTTTTTTTCTGTAAATCATTTCTCTTCATTACATATTTTTAATCTGCTATAAAGTTGATTGTCTAATTTTGCAGCTCTGAAGAAGTATATCATGTGAAGAATGACAGAGCTAGCAGAAGAAAAAATGTACACTTATCTACTAGAAAACAAAACAGGATATTTCAAAATGACTCCAAACATAAATTAAGTTTACCCATTGGGAGGTCTAACTTGCATTTGGATCATTTATATGGGTCTGTGTGACTATATACCCTGCTGTTTGATAAAAAATGATTACTAACCACAGGCACCCACCAGAGAACAGAGTGTATGTATAATGCTTGTGATACCTCAGACATACAAAGCACCTTCTTAAAGAATGTCCGTTTCCTTTCCATGATAAGCAGACATAATTTTTCGCCCTTTAATACTTCTGCTTCACAGAGTGGCTTATTTTATAAATTATGCTTTACCATTTTCTCTTATGTTTATTTCAATAATATGAAGTCTTGCAATGGTCTTGTTTGGTGGCATCCAAAATATTGACAACTCTTCTGCTCTGTATTAAAATACACAGTATTTTTTCTATTTAAAAATCTAATAATATTTATTTTAACACTGTTTATTAAAATGAAAGAAATTAAAAGATTCTTCTTAATAACCAGCTATTATTCTTGAATATCAAATCCTCATTCTAAGCCAAACTCATTTTCTAAGTCTATTGAATTAAATTTTCTTATTAAACAGGACACAGAGTAAATAGTCTCACTGCCAAGTATATTTCCAACTACTACATTTTTAATTTGGCAATTTAAAACAACGTGAAATAAATCTAGTCCTCATCACCTATAGCATAGTCTCCAAATAGCGCCCCTTAACCAACTCTCTAATGTCTAAATAGCATTTCACTAAGTGCCTGGTGTGTCAACGCTTCCTAGACAAATAGCCTTTGAGGTCCCCTAAAATCATAAGAATTTCAGCCTCTACACACACACACACACACACACACACACACACACACACACACACACACACACACACACACGGCAACTGCACACACAAAGCGGTTCTTCCGCCTTGAGCAACGCGACTTTCCCCAACATCACACCGAGCGTGTCTTCCTCCCCGGCGCACCCGCAGGCCACGTGACCAGCCTGAAGGGCCACCGTGGGCCACCAGAGACGACGACGGGTTCTAGAGAGAGCAAGGCTCCAGTGTGGGCCGTGGCCGCCGCCCGGGCAGGGGTGCCCGCAGGCGGCACCCGGAGCCCGGCTTCCCGCCCAGGGAGGCGGCTACAGGCGCGCGGGCCCCGGGCGTCCGCCAAGACTCGCCGCGCTCGCTCGGGTCCGGTTTGCTTTCTGGGAGTGAAAGTCAGAGCCTGCGGGTCACTGAAGCCCCTTTGTGGTTCAGGGCGGAGGCGGAGGCGGGGAGTAGGGGTGGGGGCCGGGCGCCGGGCGGGGGGGGGGGGGGAGGGCATTCTCTCAGAACTCTTCACTTTGATTGGAGACTCTGGTTAAAATTAAGGACTTCAAACCCCAGATTTGAAAAAGTGAAACAGATGTCCTGTTTGTGAACCATAAATGCCTCCGTACGTCGGATCTTTTTCTCTCTCTCCTCACTCTCTTTCGACTGCATTGACTTTTATTTAATGCAGAGTTCGCTTAAAAGGTTAAGAGAGAGGGAGAAGAAAGCAAATATGGCCTGTGTTGGAAAAACTCCTAAATCTTCCTCTAGAATATTAGGAAGAAAGATGAAAGTGTGCGACCTGCCTCCTCTGCGCGCAGCCGGCGCTTGGGGGTGGGGGAGTCAAACCCGCGGCCGGAGCGCACGCCAAGCCTCGCCCTACCCGGACGTGCCCGCCACCCGCGCCCTCGCGGAGACCCGGGGCGCCTAGCGCGGCCCGGGCGGCCCAAGCTTGCACTCACGTGAGCACGTAGTTCACGCTGACGATGCAGTGTGGCCTGGACGAGCGGCTGTTGTGCACGATGGTCGCGTAGCTCTGCACCCACACCCAGCCGCCGTGTTTCGCCAGAAACCTGTAGTACTTGGTGGTCACCTGTCCCTTCACCAGCACTGACGGAGAGACAGAAGGCAGAGGGTGGGGAGCCGGCCTGCCCGCATCTGATCCCCCCAGTGCAACCCCTGGCGTTGAGCGCGCCGGCGCCCCGTGGCCCCTGCGGATCCCTGTGCCAGGCAGGCGCGAGACACTCCAGGCCAGCGGCGCCACGAATGGACAGTCCCGCTCCATGGCATCGAGTCCTCGCGTCCCCCTTGCGGGGAAAATAAACGGGTGGCCCCTCTCTGGTCAGGTGTCTTCACCATCAGCAAAGGTGGGGACAGATAAACGTGGGGGTTTCCTCCAGGTTCGCTTTTTCTAACTAGGAAAGGATCTGGGCAGCTGAACCCTGACGCTCACGTTCCCGGTCCCGGGAGACTAAGCTCCAAGCAGAGCTGTCTCAAAAGCCGAGGCGAGTCGATGCACGTGAGCGAGGTGAACTAGCCTTGGTTTCTGTTAATGTCTTCAGTGAGGTCCGTGGGTGGGGAAGGATAGCGATAAAAGAATGAGCCATCTCCTGGGGGAGGGGGGAGTCCGCCCAGAAACGCCCCCTCCACCTGAGTTAGCGGCCCGCGGGCGTCAGAGATAACAGGTGGGGCCCGTGCCCAAGACCTCCCTCCCCCCTCCTCGCGCCGCTACGAAGGAGTCCACCTGTCCGCCTGCCATGGATTGAAATCACCCCACCCACATTCCAGTCCCAGTCCCGGGACGCGCCAGAGTTGTGTGGGTGCGGGGCAAGGAGGCTCCTTACAAAGGTGGTGCGCGCAGCGCAGGTGGAAGGTGTCGCAGCCGTGCACGTGGTGGTACAGGGTCTTCTCAATCAGGTCCTGAGGCTCGTACCCCGTCAGCTCAGCCACCCTGAGGAGGGCAATCCCCCGCAGGATGAGTGCGGACTGGCCGCGAGGTGCCCCTCATCCCAGACAGTCGTCTCAGACCTGGGTGCCCACCCTCGCTTTTCAGGGGCCGGGTCAGTAGCCTCGTCTACAAAACGGGCCCATAAGATCGACGGGAAACCCTCAGTCACTAAGCAGGGCCGCCCTCGCTCTAGGGGCGGCCCTCTCCCGCCCTGCTCACCCACCTGGAGTCCAGAAAGATGAGTTTCATGTCCAGGCTGGCACGGAACATGAACATGTTGCTGTGTAGCTTGATCTCCGTGACGGCGCTGGGGGGCAGCGAGTGGCCCACGGCCACCAGGCCCACGTTCTGGTAGCAGCCGTCGAAAGGGGACATGTCCAGGCTATACTGTCGGATCTTCAGGTAACCGCTGCAGTGGATGACCTGCGGCGGGCAGAGAGGGGTGAGACCCAGCCACAGGGCGAACCCCAAATAGACCCGGTAGGGGTTGGATCGCTGTGAGACTCCACTCAGCCACCAACGCTGCCATGTGGGCCACGCCCTTGCACCGACGTCTTGGTGCTCCAGGGTGTCTCAGGAAAGGGACTGCGCCGCCTCACTGAACTCACCTGGAAGCGCATAAAGCACGCAGAGGGAAGCCTAGGCCCCACCAACCCTAAAGCACCCAAATAGCCAAGTAGGGCCCTGCAGCCTGCTTTCTAGATGTTGACAGCATTTGACGTGAGAACCACAGCTTCCAGCTAAAGCTCGAAAGGTCTACATCTGACGCTGTCGCTAAATGCTCGCCAATCCACCAGAGTGGCCCACCCCTTCAACGGCTTTAGGGACCCCTGAGGCCCCTCTCTAAGGGCCGCAGGTCAGGAGCCCAGCGGCCGCGCAGGATCCGAATCCGGATCCGGCCAGACTTCGTGCGCAAGCGTAGACCCCAGGGTTTCACCGAGTCGTAGCCCGCATGGAGCGCCCTGACTGGCGGGGGCCCAGGCGGGGAGGGTCGGGGCTGCAGGAACGACCCTCCCACGCCGCTCTTGTCTCGCGTCCTGTCGCCTCCGCCAAGTCACGCGGATCTTTCCAACCACCCACCTTGTAGCCGCCGCAGGTGAGGCCAGCGTTCCGCTTGGCCAAGACGCATTTCATTCTCAGGAAGAAGGAGCGCTCGATCTCATACTCTGCGAGAGGGAAGTAGATGGAGTCTCAGGACCCGGTAAGCAGCGGCGCGGTCCCTGCCACGACTCAGTGGGGAAGGCGGGGGGAGGAAACCAGAAGGGGCCTGCGCTGGGCCTGAGCGTCGCAGGTGCGCGTCTGCCTTACCCTGCACGAAGTGAGAGTGGTAAGGCTGGTGGGCGGTGAGCACCGCCGTCATCTCGTCGTGATCGGCCGGGTGGATGTACTCGTAAATGCTGTTTCCGGTCAGTTCTACCTGTAAACAGGAGGGTATCACCGTCCAGTGGTGGTGGAACCCCCAGTGAAGGGACCAACAATTAGGCTAGGGGGTCTGCAGGCTGGTGAGGACAGGAGCCGGAATTCCGGAATGGGCCCTGAGTTCTAGTTCCAGTTCTGCTTCTTGCTACCTATTTCAGCCTATCTAAGCCTCAGCTTCCTTACCTATGAAAATAATGCAGGATAGAGATTCCGGAATCAAAACCTCAATTTCTCAACCAACTCATCGTTGACAAAGCCTCCAACAACAACCACTGAGAAGAGAACCTATTGAGTAAATGTGCTGGGAAAACTGGCTGATCACATGAAGAAGATTGAAACAGTACCCCTACCTATCACCATACACAAAAATTAACTCTAAATGGATCAAAGACCTAAAAGTAAAACCTCAGACTATAAGAACCTTAGAAAATGCAGGGGACACATTTATTGAAATTGGAACTGACAACCAATTCCTGATCAGAACCCTAAGTGCCCATACCATAAGAAATAAGATAGACAAGTGGAACCTCATCAAACTGACGGGCTTCTGCAAAGCAAAAGAAACCATCAAGAGAGCAAGGAAACAGCCCACAGAATGGGAAAAAATATTTGCCAACTGTATATCTGACAAAGGCCTAACGTGTAGGAGCTACAAGGAATTCAAATACACTAAAAGGAAAAAAACAAACAGCCCCATTAAAAAGTGGGCAAAAGACATGAATAGACACTTCTTAAAAGAGGATATACAGGCAAGCCAACAGACACATGAAAAAGTGCTCAGCCTCACTCATCATAGAAATGCAAATCAAGACTACACTGAGATACCACCTAACTCCAGTAAGAATGGCCATGATTAATAAAACAAACAACAGATGCTGGCGAGGATGCAGAGAAAAAGGAACACTTCTGTACCACTGGTGGGAATGCAAACTAGTGTCTTTGGAAGACAGTGTGGCAATTTCTGAAAGAACTAGAAATTGACCTTCCATATGTCCCAGCAATCCCCCTACTGGGAAAATGCCTGGAGGAACTCAAATCATCATACAAAAAAGATATCTGCACACGAATGTTTGTTACTGCTCTATTCACAATAGCAAAAACATGGAACCAACCATGCTGTCCACCAAAACTGGACTGGATTTTTAAAATGTGGTACATATAAACAATGAAATATCATGAAGCCATAAAGAAGGACAAACACATGGACTTTGCAGCAACTTGGATGGATTTAGCGTCTATCACACTCAGTAATCTAGCACAGAAACAAAGAACAGAGTACCATATGTTCTCACTCATAAGTGGAACTTGAACAATTATAACACTATGAGAAAGTGATTGGCAGTAGTGGGAAACTGCCAGGGGAGGGAGAGTGGGATTGGCAGTTGAGGGAAACTGCCAGGGGAGGGAGGGGCACACCTCATCAATAAGGGTACCTGCATAATGAACATTTGTATACCTAACCCTGAATTGTACCCCACATCTTTAAAATATAAATAAATAAATCCTAAGAGATAGGCCATTTAAAAAAAGTGAGGAAAAGAACAATAAACCAAAAAGAAGCCAGGAAAAAAAAAAAGAAAATAATAACAATAGTAGTAGTGATGATGATGGTAATAATAGTAGTAGCAGTAATAGTTTGTAGCAGCTCCCTGGCCATGTTCTGGCACACACTTCATGAAGTAAATATGTAACCTCCTCCCGTGATATCGGGTTTATGGTAAGGACTCACAGAAGTAGCCATTGTTTGGGCCTAGGCTGGAAGCTAAAGGATAAGGGAAGTCAAGAAACGGGAGATTCCAACATGTTTAAAGAGTCTTCCTGCCGGCAGTGAGGTTTCCAGTCCCAGAAATGCAGATATGAAAGGTTTGGAGACCCCTCCCTCCAGCTCTGGCTATATATCCTGCAGCTGGAAGTGTGGACCACTCACCTACCTGAGAAAGACCCAAGTGGACTGAGGCCGTCTCCGAGATGTACATGATCTTCCCATCTGGGGCCACCACAAAGATGAAGCCATCCAGGGTCTGGGGAGGCAGAAATAGAGTAAATGGACCCTCTGGGCCATCTGGAGAAATGGGAGGGGGAGGACATTTGTTAGACATTCAGTCAGAAGTTCAGAGACATTCAGCCAGAAGTTCAGAGAGATGGATTGGAGGGGGGCTGGCAGGAAATGGGACATTAAAAGCCAGTCATGAGTCCCCCTTTTGTTCATGATACACTGGTAAGCATCTGGGGCATGCAGCCCAATGGAAGAGATCCAGGGGAAGTGGTGGACAATGCTGATGCCCTCCAAGGCCATGAAATGAACAAAGAAGATATGTTGGTCACACACACACACAAGTTCTGGGGCAGGGGAATCATACTCTACATTAAAAGGTAGATTCTTGGGGTGATGGTCACTGAAAGAATCAGAGGTCTCCTATGTCAGTCTTGAAGGACTTTGTAGTGGCAGTTTTCTATAATAAAAAGAGTAATAGCAGAGTTTGTGAAAGATCCAGTGCAGTAGGCACTGGTTGACATGGAAGGACTGGCAGTCAGTGGTTTATAGCCAGTGACTCTGGAAAGAATCCAGGACAGGAGGATTTAGGAGATGAGAGGCTTTACAAACAAGAAGTCCATAGAGTAATGCTATAGTATATATTTGAGTGTGTTTACAATGGTGCATCAAATTGACAGACTCTCAATGAAGGACAGCATTAGACTTTCATTGCCCCTTCAGACCCTGCTCTGAAGAAACTAGAAGTCCAGCACTGGTGACTGTCCTGAAGATAGATATAATGACCACACAGCTGAACAGACCCCAGTGTACAGGCAAAGGTCCCAAAGGCTGAGTGACCAGAGGCCTGAGGAACAATCAAAGAGGATCTGATGTTTGAGCAGAACCTTGAAGAGGAAGCTTGGATTGTAGAAGGGAGAAAGAGCATTCTCAGCAGAAGGAATGATGTGGCAAAGACAGGGTCTGGGAACAGAGTAGATCTGGAGTAGTCTGGGTTGATGAGTTTAATGTACCAGAGACAGGGCTGAGGAGCTACTCCATGATGGATTTTTGGAATTTAGAATGTCAATGTGAGGACTTTTGGGTTGCTCCTGTGGGCATCAGGGTCTCAACAGAGATTTCTAAGCAAGAGAATGGCATGTTTAGATGTGATGGGGTTGGTATTTTGGGTTGTTGTTGTTTTGGCACAGTGAGGTGGAAGGAGTAGCGATTAGGAGATCAGAGTGGATAGCTGTAGCAGGGATGGTCAAGCCTGAAATTGAGTGGTCACAAGGAGGCACAGAAAGGGGTAAGTTGAATTCAAAGATGGCTCTGACTGTTGTCTTTGTGCTAATGTGTGGCAGAGAGAGAAGCTGAGGTTGATGTAAAGGTTTCAGTGAGGACATTGAACAGAGAATGACATCATTAATCAAGACTGCACATTCAAGGAAGCATAGTGATATTTTGTATGAGTGGAAATCTGAGGGGAGGGAGATGATGTTCCTTGTTTTGAAGATGCTAAATTCCAGATATATGCTGATTTAGATGAGTCCAGTTGGCAGTAGAAAATAAAGAGCTCTAATTGGAGTCTAGACCAGAGAGACCAGCTGGGGTCATGTGGAGAAAGGTGTTGGCTGAGATCACCCAGATGGCTTTGAAGCTGTGAGAGGAGAAACTGAGCTTGGGGAAATGATAGCATTTGCAGGCCAGCCAGTGGTGGAAAAATCAAAGAGGAGCTGGCAGACAAGGAGAAGAATCTGGGAAACAGTGCTATTTTATAAACCAAGGGATGGGGGGGTGGAGGTGTCAGGTCATCAGTGTTATCCCCTTCAGGTCTTTGTCCAAATGTCACTTTTCAGCAAGACCCTCTGACCATCTTCCTTGGCACTACTCTCCCTCTTTCCCCTCCTTATTTCTCCCCACAGCACCTACACCACTTGTATACTATGCAGCACACCTGTGTGGGTTTGTAAGGCTGCTCTCTTTAGACTGTAAACTCCATGATGGCAGGGCTTTCTGTCTGACGCAATTGATCCTCCCATATCCATGGAATAAATGAGCACAGTTAGGATAGAAGAGGAGCATCCTATTCTTCGTGTCGAAATGTGGTGGAGTCTGAGCAGAAGTGAGTGGGAGAGATGCCAGTCTGCAGGCTGTGGGATCAAATGGGAAGGGGTGAGCCATTGGCATTGGGAATGTAAACCCTGCCAGAAATTTGGGGTGAAGAGGACAAAAGAGATTAGAAAGAGCTAGTACGGGTAAGGGATGGTTTGAATGTTGTTCTTGTGTTTATGTTTCTGAGGGAAATTATTTGGGAATAAAAAAAGATTGGGGGAGGGACACAGGTATATCTGAGAAAAAAGCATCTCAGAAAAGAGAATTAGGCACCTTTCTAGATACATTCGGAGGTGTGTGGTGACCAAGTAAGTGAGGGAAAGCCCTTTCTTTGATCTGTGAAACTAAAAACTCCTCAGTATGTGGGAGGGAGAAAAGGACATGGCAGTGGTGGGACAGGAGCTCTCCTGCCAAGAGATCCCACTCATGACAGCACCCAAGGGACAACCGGCTCAGAGTCCCAACACTGCTCAGGTTCAAGGCTGCCACACAAGGAGTTCCTTGATGGACTTGAATAGTATTGAAGAGATCGCAGGGTGAGGGGCAAGTGTCAAACTTCAAAGTGCCACCAGGAGTTTTGCAGTTTAAAATGCATGTTCTGCAATTTAGGCAGGGAACGGGCAATGTGAAACTGTGAGCACTACAAGCAGCAAGGCAATGGGCGCCTCTTACTGACTACACTCATTCCCTTGGGGCTGTATGTGTTACTGCCAGGGCCTACACACGGCCTGGGTTGACTTGGGATAAGGGCAGTTGGGAGATAGGGTGGCAACCCGTTAATCTCATGGGGAGATGAAACAAGTCGGAGGCAGCTGAGCCCATAATGTGTGGGCTTGAAGCACTGATGGGAAATTCTACCAGATCCCTGTTATTTCTCGTGTAAACCCTTCATTTTGAATGTTTCAGTGGCCCTGCCTCAGCGGCCTGATCTGGAGTGCTCCAATTCCCTTAGACCAACGGTGATATACGGGCCCCCTCCCTTGGTTCGGTCACCCTGGCGGAGCCTGGTGGGGCTGGCTTCCAACCTAGAATCTCACTTGTCACTTTGCCTCCCTTTCAGTCTCGGGACCTCAAACTTTAACTTTTGGAGGAGCTTTGGGGCTCTAAGAGGGCCGTGTCCAGGCTAGATTCCATTTTTCCTGAGCATCTAGAAGCCCCAGGCAGCGACAGGCACCCGGGCCCTCGAAGCGTTGCGTCCGGACTCTCGCGCCTGTACCTGGAGCAGATGGGAGCCCAGCTCGCGCCCAACGTTGTCCAGGGGGCTGGTCCGGCTGGAGTGGCCCCATGCCTCGCCAAGCCCTGTGGAGACACAGAAACACCCTTTAGCGACGGTACCTCGTCCCGGCTGTCAGGTTGCCACGAGTCCTGTGACTGTCACACCTACACGCGCGCCCACGACTGGACACCATCGTGAATCCCCGCCCCTCCCCAAGTCCCTGGGCAGTAGGGGATGGGAGTGTGTAAATGTCAGTCCGCCCTCTCAGCTTCCCAGCAGAGGTCAGATTTCCTCTCCCGGACCAGACCTGGTTTGTCAGGGAGGGCTGAGCCCAGGCCAAGGGCCCTCTGGGCAGGATCTCACCCTCCAGCACCGCACCCCAGCGATGACTTTTGCATGGGTTCACGGATGTTCTTACTGGGGTGAGAGACACTTGACTTCTCACCCAAGGTTTTCATCATCCTTTCCCCAAGTCCGAGCTCGTCCGACACCCAGAGAACTCTGCTGCCAGTCCGGAGCGACCTGAGACGACCGGCCAGGACCAAGCGGTCCCTGGCGGGCTTTCTGATTGGCTGCGGGGCTTCCAACCATTCTCCTCCCCTCGGCCGCGGACTCTAATCCCCTTCGGAAAAACTCGTTTGCTCACGGATGACTTCCAGCCTGACGACGCTGATTAGCATCCCTGAGAAATACTTCCTCCTCCTTTCTCCTAGCCCCCGCCTTAAATACACCTCATGCCCCCCCCCCCCATAAAACCTCATGAGCTTTTCTCAAGTCGGTTACTTTGAGATGCCAACAATTTCTTAGCAATATTTTCGTTCCTTCTGGAACGGAAAAACATTCGCCGTCTCCACTTTCCAGGTACGATACATTATTAACAAAATCTCCCCTCTCCCTGATGTGTCTGCGTTCAGATCATTCGAGCCTTTGCCACAAACCGTTTCTTCTGTGATGCCTAAGAAATAAAACGCTCAGGATTCTCGTGGTCATTTTTTTGTTTGTTTGTTTTTTGTTTTTTTAATTAAAAATAGAAGTACCTATTTGCAGAAACAAACTGAAAAATAAGGCAGGAGAAACTTGTAGAGACCCAAATTGAGCTGTTTATGGGCAATAGCTTTCAACGGTGCTGCTGCTAAAGTTATTTTAACTAGATTGTTAAATCTTTTTATTTTTAACCATTAAGCTTACATGACTCTTCCCCCCACCAAAAAACAGGTGATTTTTCTATAAAGGTGATTTGTTGCATTAAAGGGGCAGACAAATATCATCAAGAAATACACAACGACAAGCACATTATAAACAGGGATGAGACAGGATCTTTCAGAATAAAACACGGAGTTGGACTTTTTAAAGGTGTTGGCCAGGAGCTGTTTCCTAAGCAAGCGATCAAAACCCTGGCAACGAGGAACCGTGGGCGCCCCTTAAGCTCAAATTGGGTCTTTCTGGGTGTTTGCACATCTAAATAAATCTAACGATTTCCCCACCACTCTGCAAACACGGAGGCTCCCGCCCGCACGCGGGACTCCGCTGCCTCTGTCGCTGCGGGTCACCTCCTCCTGACTCCAGCCCGCCCCGGCCTCCCTTCCCAAGGGACTCCCGCCGCCTGGTCCTTGTGTCCCTCCTGGACCGGAATGGGAGGGCCCGGCCACAGCCACCTGTGCACACCCCTTCACTCCTCCTGTCTCAGCCAACTTGTCCTCCGGGGTTTCTGGCCCGACAGGTTCCTTTCTTTCCTTTCCTTTCCTTTTTTATTGTTTTATTTTTATTTTATTTTTTCCTCCCTCGCAGATCAGACATACCCACCCGGAAGGAGAAGCTGTAGGGGTTGGCTGCGGAGGCCGAAAAGGGACCGGGGAAAGGACTCCGCAGGGAAAGCAGAGGACACTGGCAGCGCCGGCCCTTGGCCTTGGGCCTGCAGCGGCCTGGCGCCCCAAAGCGTCGCGGACCAAGGGCGAGGCGCCCGGGCGGAGGCTGCTGGTGACTGAAGGCAGGGTCCCAGCGAAGCCTGCGCTTGGGGCCAACCAACGTCTTCTATCTAAAAATTTGAGGGTGTCCCAGAGCGGCGGGGTGACGCCCCGGAAAGGCCTTCCGACCCGACTGGTCTGACAATCCCCGGGGCTGGGCTCTGGGGATTCCATCCTGGTTCGGAATCCCGGCGCCAGCCCCGGCCGCTTGTCGTTTCGGGTTGTGGCCTCATTAGTATGCGCCTATGAGGGAAAATCAGACGTCCCCACAGGTTAATAAACAGCCCGTCCCGGCACAGGTTAACGGGGCCTCCCTCGCCCTCTCCTGCGCCACCCCCGCCACTCTTTAGGGGACCTGTCGCTTTCACGGAGCGTTGCCTTCTCTTTCTGTCCCCCCCTTCGAGATCCTGGTCACACGGCCGGGCGTGGGTTAATGTTTCATAAGGGACCGGCCGCCCTCGGCTACCTGTAGGGATTTCCCGATCTATAGTAATACCAAGGCTGAGCTGACCCTTTGGGGTGCTGAAGGCACCTCCCCAAGTCCCAGCCAGGCCCCCCCCCTCGAGTGCCCCGAGAGGGGGCTGGAGACCCCTCCCCCTGGACCCCTCGCCTCCTGCCACCGGGACGCGCTCTGGCACACCCCATTTCAGTCGGTGAGGGGGTGGGGGGTGAGCCGAGATTTCGTTTCTGCACTTGACCTACCGCAGAAAATTCGCAAATCCTTTGATTGTCTGTTTAAAATGAGGAGGAAACCAGCTCCCTTTGCGGCGGGATTACAGTGGGAACAAGATCTAAAGATTCTCTTGTAATTCGGTGAGGCCGAGGGAACGGGGTTTTGCAAAAGAGAAAAGGAGCCCTGTGAGGGGGGCGATAACTAAATCGGGTTTTAGACAAAAGGATTTTCCTCGGCTAAAGTGGCCGAAGACAAAGGAAAACATAATCTATTTTGGAAGATTTCCAAGATATGCCACATTAACCCTAGCAGATAAATTTTGCTTCTCCCAGGTCCTCCTCCCCCTTTTCCCTTAAAGTCTGGTTTATCATATTTACATAAGTAGCATTAGAAGGGATGTGTCTATTATGGTTCTAAAGGGCTAGCTCACATTTCGTGTGAAAACCCGGGCAAGTTTCACTGTGGCTTTACCCTGGGTGCGCGGCGGAGCCATTTCCATTTAAATACCCCCTGACCCAAGGATTACCTCAATGGACTGACTGCGCGGGTTTTGTAATTTCCTGAAAATGAGATTTCGATTTATAAAACAAGAAACCAATTAGTAACCAAATGAGGCGAAGTAGATCCACTAAAATTGACCTAATCCCACAGGCACCATTTAGGCCCGTTCCCCGCGAATGAGTGATGAGCCCCCGTCTAGCGCGAGCTCAAAGCATCATCCAGCTGTGTTATTGCAAGCAGCAAAAATAAATTGATCCGAGCTTTTCCTTCGGAATGAATTTCATGCCCTTGACAAAATACAGATTACAGACCTGGCATCAGCTCCGCCTTCACTCAGACAGGAAGAGGAGGAAGAGACGAGCTTGTTCTACTGTTCCTCTTTTTTTTTTGTTTTTCCCTTCCTTCTTTTAATAAATAAACACTACATCTCAACAGAAACGTGTTCCCCGTGTAGTCTTTCCCGGGAACCTGCATCTTCCGGACGGATTGCGATATTCCGTCTAGGCAGTGGGGGTGGGGGCGAAAGAGCCGTTCTAGGACTGACCTCAACTTGGGGACTGAGGCGGGGGCCGCCCTCCGAGGCCAAACTCCTCACTCCGGGTCCTCGAGCGGAGCGGAGGGTGTGAGGGAGCCTGGCCTGGAGGGAGTCCTCCTGAAAACTCCAAATCTCACGCATCCTGCCGAGCCTGCGCATCCTCGCCACAGGCTCACTGTCCACGCCTTGCCCGGGGTTTAGGCACCCAGCAGCCTTCGTGGTCGGCCTCCCGGCGCCTCCGCGGCTGGGCTCTCCGCAGAAAACAGGGACAGAGAATGGGTGTTCCCAGCCGGCACCAAGCTCCTGAAGCAGTCCCGGCAGGAGACCGCTTCCAGCGCCGGGGTGCTCCCGCCTCCACCCCAGTGCTAGGGCCATCCCCGGCCTCCCGGCGGGTGTTGCTGAGCTCCCGGGGGCGTCAGGGAGCGCGCCGGCCCGTAACTCGGTCTACACTGCAGTCGGACCCCCAGAGCGCCGCCCTCGGCCGCGGGTGTCCTGTCCTCCTGCCTGCCGCTCGGGGACCGGTGCCACCGCGGCCGCGCCGGGGAATCCACTAGTGTTAGTGTAAATCCGGGGTGGATGCCGAAAGTCACAGCGCCGTCCTCCCCCTTCCCCCCCCCCCCCCGTCCCCTCGTTGAGCTCCGGCCCCCGGGTTCAGGCTTCGGGTCGGGACCGAGCTTGCTGTCTGGCCGCGCCGGAGTCTCCCGCGAAAGGACGGAGACTGCAGAAACCAGGGGACAGCCGGGTGTGGCCAGGTCCGCGCTAAACCTAGGCCCGAAAATGCATGCGGGGTTGACAAAAGTGTCCTACTTGGTGGCTGAAAAGCAACGAGCGATGTCTCCCAGGACCCCGGGCCTCGAACATGGCCGGGCCTGGGCGCTGCCATCTCCTTAGGCCGAGCCCGGGGACGCAGGCGAATCTCCTTCGGTTCTGCCAGGCGCCGGGACCCCGGCGCGGCGATCGAACCAGCTCTTGGTTCACGGTTGAGACGACTGCCCGTCCTCGGGGGGCGGTGGCCGGGACGGCCTGCGGCCTCTGATCCTGGGAGAGGACGGCAGAGACCCGGCCCGGCCTGAGAAGCGAGGGGACTGTGCAGAGGACGCGAGTTGGGCCCTGGGCTGCGGTCGCCGCGGACAGAGGATGGGACACGCCGCGCGTGCCGGGCTGGCCGCGTGCTTCAGGCGCTGAGGGAGTCGCCGGGCGGGGGCCTCGACACGGGAACTGTCCCCTAGTCGCCCCAGCCACCGCGGCCGAGCGACAACGCGCAGGAGCCGCCCACTCCCACTCGGTGGGGCTGCCTGCACAAAGTTTGCTGGCTGTGGATGGTCTTAGCACTTCCAGAGTAGCGGGACTCCTTCTAAATTTGGGGGTTCCTCCTCCTCCACCCAAAATTTAACATTCTCCGGACCAGAGGCCCGGCAGTGGGTGGCCCACTACAATCATCAGGTGTTAGCCGGGTCCAAATTTCGTTTTCTTGAGAAATACCTGGCCCCACCGAGAAACATGTCAAGAATCATCCGTGAGCTCGCCTTCTGTGTCCACATTTGTGTTTGTAAAAGCTCGAAGTGGACAAGAGTCTTCAGAAAGGAAGACAACTCCCTTAGAAGTCAGTTTTGTCCTCTAGAAATTTAGCCCGGTTTTAGCTTCAGGTGGGTAGGTTCGAATTCCTGTTGTTGTGTGTTATTGTTTGTATTAATGATTCCTCTCTTTGAAGAACAAAAGTGTTCTTTTACGTTGATCTGATCTACCATTTCTAGCACATAAATCTGCCTTGCAAATGCTCTGCACGGAGTTTAGTTCTGCACTCCGCATTTTAAGTCCACATCAAAACTGGCATTAAACAGAGAAAACCAGCATGGAGCGTAAACTGTGCTTAAAGGCCTTTAAATGAGAAAAACTTCTGCAAGAAAATAAACACGGAAACCTAATGCTCAATCATTTCCCAAGAAGCAAGAAAAACAGCCTTAAATCACCAGTCCACGTGGGAAATGGGGCCTCTTTTTCTCTTTCAGTTCTCGGCCTCAAAAAAAAAAAAAAAAATAACGCCATTAAGGATTTCAATCTTGAGGTGAATGTTATAGAAACGGTCTGTGGAGGTTTGTTTAATCATCCTTGTCCTTTATAGAGATTCTCTTTCCTGAGCAGTTACTAATTTCAATTCTGTGATTATTTTCATTTTCCCAAGACACCTTCACCGTGAAACGATAGTGATGTTACCAAGATTCTGAATAGCTATAGATCTGAAAACATGTCTGATCCTTTCAAAGTTTATTCTGCCAGCCACCGCACCCAGCCAAGATTGCATGATAGCTGGATAATAAATATATATTTCTTTTTAGTTGAATTTACCCTATTTTGCACACAAAGTCATGCCATCTGCCCCTCTCTCTCTCTTTCTCTCAATTCTGTCATTCTGTCTTTTGTAACACCAAAAATGGATACATCGCTATGTTTCATTTTTTTATTCTTTTCAAGGCTATTTTAGAATAGAATATGTGACCAATTGGGAGACAGAAAGTTGTAATGATTTCATAGTAATCTTCCCTGAGTTCTTTTCCCCATGAGACCTCCAACCTAATGCGCTATTCTTAATTATTTTGGGTAACCATATTCCTGTCTCTCCCCACCCCCTTCACCTCAACAGTTCAGTTTTATCTATTTGGGTAAATAAAAGCTGATTCTTGCCCCTAGACAAGGAAGCTACTAGACCCCGGGAGAAAAAAATGTACTCAACAAATGAAGGAGGAGGGAAATGACCGGCACTTTCTTTTCGTGAGTATAATCACACAAGGATATTTGTTTGTTCATTTAACTTATAGCCTTTTGATATTACAGGGTATTGTAGATGAAATTTGATATGAGCAAAACAGTGAAGTTTTACAGTATTGTTATGCCTATAACTATGTTATCAGATTAATAGTGATTTTAGATTATATGCCTTGCAAAGTTCATATGTTACCTGTGATAAGATGTTTTTCATGATGAAATAACTATCTTTATCCCAGCCTTAAAAAACATCTTATTGAGGACACACTGTGTGCTAGGATGGCTTCAAGGCAGAAGGTAAAGATGAATTTTATCTTCAAACGAATTCCACTGATTATCACTTAAAAAGTTACACCCAAATCAAGTGCTCAGTTTCCCCCACTGCTGTGGACCCCAATGTCCAGCCTCTGCTTTCAATGCTGAACCCAAATTTGGCACCCCCTGCAGGTTGTGCCTGGTTCTGCGGCTTGTGACTATGTCATCCCTTGGAAAGGTGTTGTGTTTTTGTTTTTGTTTGTTGTACTTTAATATTCTACAGGTCTGTGTTTGGGTTTCAGGTTTTTGAAGCTCATCCACCCTCAAATTAAAACCTCATCCCCAGGAGTCAGCCGTTGGAGGACCCTGACTTGCTCACTGGGTAGGGGCTGCGGGTGAATTATGAGCGCAACAGTAGCTGGAGAAATAAATGATGTGTCCAGAGTTCACACATCGTCCACCCCTCCTCCCCATAGACACACTCACTCACAGCAGAAGGAAGAGGAGGGAGGGGCCGGGGGCTTGGGAGGAAGGTGTGGGGGCCTCTGCGGAAAGCACTGTCGCTGAGAAAGTAGCCAGAGGGGACCGGCCTGGCCACCAAGGGGACTCCAGCGGGCTCTCCATCCGCGCTCTCTTCAAAATAACGAGAAGTTGGCTAGGAGAGTTGCTTTTCTGTTCTTCCTATTTATTTATAACGCGGTGTATAATTTGTAGCGTTTGCACCTCATTAAACGAATTAAACAAAAAGCTTGCTCTTTGAAAAAATAAAACAAGCCAAAAAATACCCCACACAACAGCATAAAGCAGCCCATAGCCCCGCAGCCATGCCAGCTCAGGTCTGCACCCAGCGGACCCGGCGTCTCGGGCCAGTCGACTCCCGGGCCCTCCGTCCCGCCCGGGGCCCGCCCCGGCCCGCCGGTCCACTATTCTCCTCCTCCCGCGACTCCTCGCAGCCCCACCAGCAGCACCATATGCTGCTTCTGATCAAACAGCGAGCGACATCGGCACCGATAATTGACGAGACCGGCTAGAGCTCACGCAGAAAGGGAGCCCACTGAGGCCGCAGGAGCTGACAAATCACTGCTAATAATCCTGTTAGGAATAACGCGGCCGGCGGAGTCCGCAATCGCTTTATTTTTATCAAGTAGGCGCTGACAGTATCAAAGACAAGAGGTATCTTTTTAAAATCAGAGTCGGTGTGCCATAGTGGTAATTTTCCCAGCAGCGATTCTCAGCGCTGTTTGAACCGGGAATGTGGTTTTTAGTATATATAAAGTCCCTCGTCCGCCTCTTCTTTTTTTTTAATTAGGTAAACTTTTTAGGAACCTTAGGCTTTGGTACCTCTTTTCCCGTGCTTTCCAGGGTCAGATGGGGATTTTTCAAGGAACTGTTTTAAGAGGGAATGACTATAACATGACTTGCAGTTCGAGGGCAGAACTGAACCGTAATGTGAAAGTTTTCCTTCAGGGTCCTTGACTAATTTGGAGCATGCCCTGCAAGCTTTTGACTCGGACAATAACTTTTATGTCAAGATCAAGCAAAGTGAAACTCCAAACCCAATAATGACGACTTCCTCCTCTTCTATGCTCTTAAAACAAAAAAAACCCCCAAACTTCTAAAATCAACAACCACAGAAACCTCTAGGGATCAAATAAAAAGTTCTCATTTGTAAATAAACAGAGTTCTTTCTCTTGCATTTTTTTGTTTGTTTGTTTATGTAAAAATACCTCTTTTACACTTCCCAATTCTCCTCCCCCAGTGAAGATTGATCTAAAATATATATTTAAATGTGTTTATATTATTTAAATACAAGCAAAGAAGAAGGTGGGCAAGTGGAAAAGAGAAGTGACCTTTTTCTAAGGAATATAAATGGTTTTTACAGCGGACAGTGTTCTGTAAAGCCTGCCCTGTGCAGTGAATCTTGATCGTCTAAATGCAAGTTTTAAATCATGTCGACAGCACAGCTATTCTGACTTCTCATCCTTATAAGACATTTTACCCTGAATCTGCTTGTCAACCTACCACCCAGCAGGCATTTTCTAAGTGGGCTAGTCATCTTAATTCGATCTTGTGTATTTGGGGAGCAGCCTGTTATCCCCTACAGATCATATCAAGCCCAGAGTTGCAAAATCATTGAGCTCCAGAATTAGTTTCCGAATCTGTGAGTTATTTGAAAACTCAGAATAAAGGTGCTCCCAGCAGCCAAGAGACTGAATGCATTCGCAACATATCTGTTCACGAATTTGCCAACTTCTCATTTGCAGAGCTAGAGAAATTATTGCCTGGCTTAGTGAGCTCCCCGCACATGGGTCTGTCGATACTTAGCAAAAATACAGAATCTGGCAGTGTTCCTGCTTTCTACGGGATACAATTCTAACCAGAGGAATAAAAAAGAAAGTCGTGTTTGGATTAGTTGTACTTTCAATTGAGCCCACTATCTGAAGTGTTGACAAAGGGACTGCTGGGCAGCTTCCCAGCCAAATACATCTGATGGACTGAAGAGAAAGTGTAAATGGGGACGTAGTGGCAGCCTAGCAAAGACCACAGAAATCCCGAGTTCAGCGAGGACCTCAGTCAAGCAGCTGGGGGGCTAAACTTCCCTTCTCAGGGAGTGCCTATGTGTGAATATGTGTGTACTTATCACTGGGGTAGACTCCTCGCCTGGAAAATCCCGACCCCTTCTGCCTCTGAAATTCCATCTGGGCCAAGTCACTCACCTTCTGGGAACACCACTCTCATTTTGAGATAGCTGGTCGTGAGTCTGATTATGGATGCTTTGTCCAGCTGCGAGGTGATAGCCGAGGGCAAAGGCAGTAATTTAGCCAGTTCATAAAATTCACTGTTTTCCTTCTCCCTCCTAGTCCGGGCAGCATTTTTGGACTTTTCTTTCATCGTGTCTCGTTCGCCCTTTCTCCTTACCACGTAAGCTTCGCAGATTCATCCAAAACCAAAACCAAACTTTCAACTAGAGATCATATTTGGCGAAAAATAAAACAAAACAAAATAAAACATGAAGCATACTCTGAACGAAGAGTCTTTGCGCCAGGAAGCGTGTGTATGGGTGGCAATAAAAGACCAGCTGGGTGAACACAAAATATTTTTCCTGGACAATGCGGGATGCCAGTAGGGAAAAGCTGCGGGATCCACGGCTATGCGGGCAATTCTGGAGGCCTCCGGGTATCAAACGCCGGCGGGACCCCCGAGGAGCCAGCCTTTCCTTCTATTCCGCTCTGCGAACCCTGGTCCTCGGAAAATCGACATAATCATTCCCGACGCCTGCTCTTGAGTCTCGCGGCATTTGAGGTGGCTTCGAGCCCCTTCGGGAAGAACTGGAATCCCGGACGACCCTTTCAGGCCACTGTGAAGACAACAGCACCAGAGCGTCAGAGATTTGCGGCTCCACTGCCCCTCACACCCTCGTCCCAACTCCAGAGGACCGCCGAGGGGCCCTTGGCGCGCCCCAGCGTTCCTCGCCAGGCTCCGTGGCTTTGTGTTAGTGTTTGGGGGGTTGTTTTTCTCCCCCCCTAAGATACGGAGGCATCAGCAACGAGACCCACCGCCCGGCAAACAACGCTCGCATTCCCTCACCCGTGCCCGCCACATTCTCCAGCCCCCTGGGAAAGTCGCCCAGACGATAAAGCGCCTATCTGTGAAGACCCTCCGGAGACCTTCGGCCGCCGGTCCCCGCGCCAGCGCCCGGACCGGGCGCACGTCCCGCGGAAATCAGGTTTCCGCAAACCAGAATCCCTCCAGGCGCTGAGCCCTTCCGCCCCCGACCTCGGCGGATCTGGAGCTCGGCCGCCTCTCCCGCTCGGGCCTCGAGTCGGAGGGATTCCTCAAAAAGTGGCGCGCACACATCAAGTCCCTCGGGACTCCCCAGCGAGCCGGCGCCCTCGCAGCCCGGCAGGGGCGGCCCCCCGCGCGGGACGCGGCAGCGCCAGGTTAACAGGTGGCACACTCGCGACAGCCCCCCGCGGGCGCCGAGGTGGGAGGCGCCCCGGCCTCTCCCCCGCGCCGCGGAGCTGCGGGCGCCGCCGGGCCGGCGCGGGGCTCCTGGGGCTCCACCTACCTTCAGTCCCCGCGGGCGGCGGAGGGTGCGGAGGCGCCCATCTCTTAAGTGCACGCACGCCTCGCCTGCCGGCCGCCTAAGACCCTCCGCCGGCCTCCCCGCTTCCCACCAGCAGAGAGGCGCAGAG